GTCAATAAATACAATAAAACCCGTATAAACCAGAATTGCACGGTATCGAATATTTTTTCCGGGTTGGAAGGTTTCCATTTTGAACAGTTTTTTTTTTAACATAGAAAATCTCTCCGTTTCGAAGAATTTTCCCATTTAGGCAGGTTTCCTCCTTATTCGGGTTCCGCTTTGAAGAAGTTTTATTGTACGGTACAATACATATTACATAAAATATAGTTATATAAAACTTTAAAGAATTTCGTATCGTTTTAATATTTTTTTTCTCAATTTTATACGCTACATAATGTTTCAAAATACGAAATAAATTTGCGTATATTGAATGACGCATTTGATAATGCACGCTAACACCGAATCACGTAATAAAATTATATAAATATCAAACTTTAAAAAGTAATCATAAAATAATACAATATTAATACTTATAAATATAATATATTAATAAGTATCCGTTTGAATCTTTAAACTGAATATAATATATTATTAAATTATCGATCTTTGTCGCTAGTGGCAGGTCAGTAACGAAATATAATCGTTAGAAGAGGATGACGGGAAGAGAAAGCAACATGGCGGTTGTCGTTTGGCGCGTATTTTACACTTGTGAAAGAAAACTTTAAAGTATTCTTCATTTCTTCGATATTCCGAGAAGCCGTTTAATATTTAAGTAAGTTTAAACTTTTTTACATCCATATTTAGTTTAAATTATTTAATATATGGTAATTGAACGAAGTATAAGGGTACGATTATGCACACCCGAATGGTTAACATCTAGCGGTTAAATACGTATACTGTCATTGCGGCTCATCTCTGATTCCAGCAAACAGTGGGGACGCACGTTCTAACCTAACCTAACCTATTCTAATAATTTGATTGGTAATAATTATGGTAATTTATTAGAATAGGTTAGGTTAGGTCAGAACGTGCGTCCCCACTGTTTGCTTTTGTTTGGTGGAATCAGCGCCGGCGCCATGACAGCCGCCGGCGCTGCCGCGGCGCAACAGCCGCCGACGCCCTTCGCTCGCGTCGTCACGTGACACGTCGTCTCGACAGGCGTACGGTTTTGAGGCTAAAAACGGAAGTGCCGCCATGATGTGGCACGCATCTGAACATTGACC